CTAGAGGTCGAGAAAGCAAAAATACTTTTCATTACTCAAGACTTCATGTTAGAAGGTAAGGATGTGTGGATGAGAGAGCTGCCAGAGAGACAAACCGGGTAAATCATACCTCATCTGCTGTATAATCAGTTTCAGCTGTACCATCCACTTCAATTGTGGCACCATACCATGTAAAAACCTGATGCCAATTTCGAATTAGAGCAAACACAGTTAGCCCCGGTTTGACAACCATTATTTGAAAACTCTTTTTCTATATACTCATTTTCATCACAAATTCACATTGTAAAATATTCTGCACTGTAAACCCAAAATTTTTCCTACTTTCTAACCACATATTCTCTTGAAAATCACTATTCAAAACATTATTTTTGAGGAAAAAAAAAAGGCCATCAAACGGGGGCTTAAACATTTGCTAGTTGAGTGTGTAACAATTTCTACATTGATAACCCTGCATACCCCTAAGATTGTCATGTATGTTTGGCTAAGTTAAAAAAGTTCACCGATAATTAAGTTTTAGAATAATAATTTTTTTTTATAGTATAAATGTTAGAAATACCCAAGTTACTTATTTTTTAGTGTAAATTAAAGGTATCCTTTCGAAAAAGTTTAGCAGACATGAAAACAAGTTTGTAGACCAAAAATACATTTTTAGACTTAATAAACAAACCTATCTGTATTTATAATTTGGGGATCCTTTTACCTTAACTACACTACATACAACAAAAATTACAAAAACAAAATACATATGAATTCAAAGGAAAATGATGAGTATATGTGTGTATACAGCGAATTTGAGCCTGGGCGGGAATGTTAGCCATATCTCTGGCGGTATTTCGGTTCCGTATATCTCGGCCGAGCCGGTGAGGAGACGTAGGCGGAGTGGCGCATCAGGACTGACTTCAACTCTGAATTTATGATGGAGGTCTTGGGTTTGAATCCGTTGTCCAATTGGTACCAGGATTCAACTTAAGTCTCCCATATGATGGAGGTCTTGGGTTCGAATCTTGGGGTAAGGTTTCAACTTAAATCTCCCATATGATGGAGGTCTTGGGTTCGAATCCTGGGGGACGCGTCAGAAAGTCGTGAGAGGATAAGTGGGTAGAAGCCCACCCCAGAGCGGACAGTACGTCATCGATCTAACGACCGAGACAGCCCATCAAGTGGGACCCGGGTCATTACATAAGGTATCAGAGCCCAGTTGCCAGCCGGAAATCGGGAACTAAGTGCTATGCGGGACAAAAGTGCTACGTCATAGAGCGGGAGCCACCTCTTGAACCCGTAGGAGCCACCTCTAGAATCCCAACGCCTGCCAACAAATCCTCAGATGGATCAAGCGCGACGAGAACGTTGCGAGTCTAACGAGGAGTGATTGTAATACCCAGATCAGGAAATTTTAAAAGATTTGATAGGTACTGCTCATACCAACAAGGTGCACCTTCTTTTCCCGAAATCCATAGTTAGTAACTCTACAGTTAAGCGTGCTTGCCTTGAAGCAATTCTATGATGAGTGATCCCCTGTGAAGTTTTCTTGGGGAGAGTGCGAGTGAGAACAAAGCATGCTGAAAAGACCCATGTTGGTACAGTGGGGGCAGTACGTTGTCGATCTAACGGCCGGGACAGACCGTTAAGTGGGACCCGGGTCATTACACTATATCTTTTTAAACCATTCCCAACATGCTATAAATGTTTGAAATAGGCACCAAAAAGAGCTAATTCTCCCAGTTATATTACCATAAGCTTAGCTGAAAGTTTTACATATCCATATAAAAGAGAATACTGGTAATCCAACTAAGATCAATATGTTTTCGACAGCTTCATTTAATGGATGAGCTCCCGTGTTAATTAAAAAGATAGGTAAAAGTATAGGAATTGAAATAGACAAAAGAAAAATTGTAATTGAACTGTCCTAAAAGATGATACTGATAATCAATAAAAATGAGCTTGACATATCATCATTTATCTTTCTAATAAGTTTATAGATAAGCGGACAGTACCTGAGAAAAATCTGAATCGCTAGGCGAAGCTTTGGCACGATTTCTTCGAGCATCCAGTACAGCATGAACATTCACATAACTGATCATGGGTGTCTAGAGGTCGAGCAAGCAAAAATACTTTTCATTACTCAAGACTTCATGTTAGAAGGTAAGGATGTGTGGATGAGAGAGCAGCAAGAGAGAGACAAACCGGGTAAATCATACCTCATCTGCTGTATAATCAGTTTCAGTTGTACCATCCACTTCAATTGTGGCACCATACCATGTAAAAACCTGATGCCAATTTCGAATTAGAGCAAACACAGTTAGCCCTGTTTGACAACCACTATTTGAAAACTCTTTTTCAATCACAAATTCACACTGTAAAATATTCTGCATTGTAAGCCCAAAATTTTTCCTGCTTTCTAACCACATATTCTCTTGAAAATCACTATTCAAAACATTATTTTTGAGAAATAAAAAAAAAAAGGCCATCTAACGGGGGCTTAAACATTTGCTAGTTGAGTGTGTAACAATTTCTACATTGATAACCCTGCATACCCCTAAGATTGTCATGTATGCTTGGCTAAGTTAAAAAAGTTCACTGATAATTAAGTTCTAGAATAATAATCTTTTTTTATTGTATAAATGTTAGAAATACCCAAGTTACTTATTTTTTAGTGTAAATTAAAGGTACCCTTTCGAAAAAGTTTAGCAGACATGAAAACATGTTTGTAGACCAAAAATATATTTTTAGACTTAATAAACAAAACTATCTGTATTTATAATTTGGGGATCCTTTCACCTTAACTACACTACATACAACAAAAATTACAAAAACAAAATACATATGAATTCAAAGGAAAATGATGAGTATATGTGTGCATACAGCGAATTTGAGCCTGGGCGGGAATGTTAGCCATATCTCTGGCGGTATTTCGGTTCCGTATATCTCGGCCGAGCCGGTGAGGAGACGTAGGCGGAGTGGCGTATCAGGACTGACTTCAACTCTGAATTCGCATTCTTTTTCAAGTTTCACTTGCCTTATTGTTGCCGGGCCACCCGCAGCAGTTGATCCTACGGCTGGGCCTCCATAAGCCATGGTAATGGTTGTTCTTTTATTGAAAAAGAATTTTTCGTAAGTGCGGTGAAGATTATAATAAGCAAATCGAGTTTTCTGTGGAGAGATACGGCGACCCCAAAGGCTGAATGGTGGGCGAATAGTGTTAAGGGGAAAGGGTGGCTGGACGGTGGGGAATGGGGAGAGAGAGGCCTTGTACGGTGGCGTGGATTGGCTGGACGGTTTCGTATCCTTTGTTTTTTCAAGGAACACGGAACACCAAATTTAACTTAAACCGGTCTCTCCCGTTTCCGGATCGCCCGGTTCGAGGTTTAACGCTGGTTGGCCTGGTTTAATACCGGTTCACAGACTTGCAGTTTTTAACGCAAGTCTCGACCGATTTTTCATTAGGTTCCCAATTTTTCCAATTGAGTCTACCCGTAATAGAAGTGGGTCGGTTCAGTTCGGTCCGATTTTAAAGGAAATCAATCTGAATCACGTATTAATGAAAATAATAGAAATATAACCACTGATTTCATATCTAAATATAGAACCGAACCATATAGTTCTAAGTATGAAACTACTTGTCAAAAGATCATGTTGGAATATTGAAAATTTGAGTAGCTGAAGCAACGATTGAAGTGGGAGAGGCAAAGACGAAAAGAGGATTTCTCATTTTTTTTCATCATCAAAACCGTGCATGTGACTTCAATAATCTTCAAGGAAAAGATCTTGATTGACTATTTTGAAAACAAGAAGAAATTTGAGTTCTTACAAAAAGATTAAACTAAACATGCACTTTTTTCCTATTGGGTTGCATTAAATCTATGAATTTTTATAAAGTAGTTATAAAATTGTATAGATTTAAATGTTGATTACCTTAGATTCTGCCGTAAAGGAAAGAAAAAGAATCAAATGAAAAGTGAAAAAGAGAAATTCGGAATAACCAAATTCTTTATTGGTTCTTAAGACATTACTAAAAATCGGACCAGAATTGATCTATTCTCGATGCATGATCTCGAAATCGATCCATTTAATAAAGGAACGAGAATCGAACCGATTGGTTCTATTCGGTTCCGATCCGATTCCACCAGTTCTAGGAAAAAAATGCATATCTCTAATCGGTAATGTTCAATTTTCATAATATTGGTTAATAATACATAAAATAGAAATTTCTTTTGACAAGATTGTATTTAATGAAAAGGGGAGAGAGAGAGAGAGAGAGAGAGAGTTAAGTTTTGATTAAAATAAACTAAAAAATTTGAAGAAAAAAGATGTAGAAAATGAGAAAGGGAGATTGATAATCCTATTTATGAAACAATATCAAAGTTGAAAAACTTTTGAAAAGATATGTAGCTATATACTGCTAACTAAGTTGATATAGAATATAATAATTTTGAAATTTACTACAACAAAATAATGCAAATCTTATACCATAATAATTCAAAAAATAAATTTATTAGCCAAAATATAATCATCCCTAAAATTAGAAAATGAAATAACTAATTTAACGGTTTAACACAAGGAGGTGGAATATGAGACTATGCTTCATAACCTCAGCTTTTGGCTATGCGGACCTCAATTTAAGCAATCTGTTTCGGAAACCAAACGAGGAAAAAGAGAAAAAAAACAAACCATCTGCTTTCTAAGATTCATCCTCTACAACCATAAACATCGACGAAAATAATCTTTTCCGTATTTTCACTATTTTCGTCGACAAAATGGATCATTTTTCACGATTCTGTCCATCCAACAGCTACGCGTACCACCATTCTCTCTAGCAATCAACCAAACCAACCTTGTTGCTCAATTTTGATTCTTGCAATAAGGTAGAGAAAAAGAGAGAGAGAGAGAGTTTCCGAGGCCTCCAAGAACAGTCGAAGCCATATCCAACCGAAGGACACGAATTGAAAACAACACGTTCTCCTGGTCCGAAAGGGTCGAGTTTCTTCATTATTTTCTCAGCCATGGGAAGAAAATTTCCTATAGCCGAGAGGCCTTCAAATAATCATCATCTTATCTCATTTTCATTGTTCATAGTATGCATTGCTGCAACAATGGCTGTAATTTCAGTTCTATGCGGTTCTTTATCGCGTAAGAAATCGTCTACCCCATCAGAAGTTGACAATGCAAGAACAGAAAATTCCCATCTAGACATTTCATCAAAGGGAAGAGATGCATCCCACAAACCACAGGCTGAAGTTGAATCTTCAAAGGCGGCGGAAAAGCAGGATGATGAACAACAGGGGCCATTGCCGCCACCACCAGCCATGCAACACATAAGGGCCGCCTCGTACCACCACAGATCAAATTCCACCGCCTCATCACATGGCAAGTTATCATCAAGCATGAGCATGAAAGTGCTAGGAAATGCGATTGCAACGCGGATGGAGGAGAAGAAAGAAAAGAAATTAAATCGTGAAGATTCAGTTTGGAAGAAACCAATAATTTTAGGAGAAAAATGTAGGGTTCCACAAGAAGATGATGACACAATTCTTTATGATGAAAAGGGAAATAGAATCTCAACTTATCATCCAAAAGCTCCATCCACTGCCCTCTCAATGTCCAGGCAAAATTCAAGAAATGATTCAGATGCAGTTCCTAACTAAATGTTTGATTGTACTTTTAGCTGTTTTAATATGTGGCAAAACCACCTTTTTGATACCAAGTTACATAAAAAATGCTTTTAAGCACTGGTGACCAAGGTATTGAAATGAAGGAACAAGAAACTGAAAATACACTACTGTTTTTTTATCATCTTACAAATTGATAAGAAATATGCTTTAGGAATTTAGTTTTTTAATATCAAATGGTACAAAGTTTAGTTTCAATTTCACTTGTTTTAAATTTCTCCCCAGAAAAAGAAAAGAAGAGGGTTCAGTTTGATGCCAGATGGTGGTATAATTAGTTTTTAAGCTTCAAGAAGGTAAAGTCTAAATAATATATATTTTCTTTTCTCAAGAACCATATAAAATTTTAAAGGAGATAGTTTAATAATATGTTAATTATGTGGATTCACTTATGTGGAGCAAAATACGCATATCTCATGCAAGACAGCTGAACATGCAAAAAAAAAAGTGAATATATAGAAAAAAAAAACTCCCATAACTTGGATAAAATGGCCACCAGATAATACTAAAAAGACTACCGTCGTAACAAACATCTAAAAATAACTAAACAGAATCTACGCGTAACTTGTATAAAAAAGGAATAATAATTAGTGCTGATAGAACAAATTTATGCATTTTAGTTTCCGAGTAAGCTGAAAAAAATGCTCTGACAGCCTATCTTCGAATTCAGAAAGAGAAGCCATCTGCTCCTTCAAACCCTTCCTCTACCGGATATCAGCAACCAGTTGTGCAGCCTGAGCTCCCGATTCCAGTGGATCGGATGACACCACGTCCCAATGATCTAACACGCATTGAGGGAAAGCCGAATCCGAGGTAGCAGCTCTGAAGGTACTCGAGAACCCAAATGACTCAACGACAGGAAGGTATGCCTTGATGTTGTAAAGAGGGGTACCTCAAGAACTGTCTCACGGAATGACACAACTGGATCGGATTTAACAATTTCAGCACCACCCATGAAATCCTCCTGCAAGTCCTTCAAGCAGATCTCAAGGTGAAGTTCTCCAGCACCAGCGATAACATGCTTGCCGGACTCTGCAATTGAACAGACAACCATAGGATCGGACTTAGCCAAACGTTTTAAATCCTCGACAAGCTTGGGGAGGTCAGAAGCAATCTTGCACTGAACAGCAACAAGCACAACGGGTGATGCAGAGAATTTCATTGCTCTAAATGGATGAGCAAACTTCCTTCTCATTGGTTAGTGTTGCATTCTTGGTAATATATTGATCAAGACCAACCATGGCTACTGTATTCCCACACTGCACATCCTCCACAGTTTCCTGTTTCTAGCCCATCCAAATGACTGTCCTCTGAACACACTTGACGTAGAAAGTCCTTTTTCTCACCAGGGACGTAGTTGGGTCCCATTATTCTAACATTCAGACCAGTTGAGACCTTCCCGTAGAACACACAACCAAAAGCAAAGAACCTACCCTTATCAGAAGCTAGAATCATCTTGGATACATCGAGCATAAGAGGACTGTCAGGATCGCAGTTCCTAATTGCACTAGCATATGCATCATCAAGTGGACCATCATACACGTTCTCTACACGGTATTTTTGAGCCATGACAGGAGATTGCAGATGGAATACCATCATTTCAAGAAGAGCACTACTAGCAGGAAGCCATGTTTACATAACACGTTTCATTAATGCTTTGCCCATCAAATCTTTTTCTTCAGACTTCATGGAGACACCAAGCTTCTGCAACAATGGCCAGAGCTTATCTTTCTGATCATTCATACAAGTATTAATAATCTGCTTGATAGGTTGATAACAGAACTGAAAGAAACCACGTTTGCATGTTGGACAACTAGTGTTATTGCTGGTCCATTTCTTGGTAGCAGGGTCAATGAAATTTTCACCCCAGAGTCGTTCCATCATCTTAGCCTCATCAACACCAAATTTGGACGCATACACCTTGGCAAAGTTAGATTAAAAGCCCAGCCATGCAGCCCAGCAGAAAACTCGACTGTACCTTTCTTGGGGCAAACCTGTATATCTCCAAGGAGGGGATCTTCATAGGTTGCCATGATGACATTTGCATTCTCAACGACTCTTTCAAATGTCTGGTAAGCTTCTTCTCCATCAACTTGTAGCTCAAGGAAAAACCTGTCCATCTTGTTGACAGTCAAGCAGGTCGAATTCTTTCTCCAAGGGCCTGTCTAAGTACAGTTTCTGTTTGTATGCAAACCCTTCAACACAATCAATAACAACAAAGTGCACCATCAGTAATTCGGAGTGCAGCCATCACTTCGGATGAAAAGTCAACATTCCCAGGAGAATCTATAAGATTAATGAGGTACTCATTCCCCTGTCGCTCTCCCTTGTAATTCTTCAAAGCGTCATCTCATCTCATAGTAAAGTGAGATTCCAGTAGACTTGATGGTGATACCACGCTCAGCGTCATCCTATCTCGTATCTGTCGTACGAACATCCCCAGCAACTTCCTCAGCAGTGATACCGGCAGCCGCTATGAGAGAATCAGTAAGAGTGGATTTCCCTGTTAAAGAAAATATAAAAAAGGTTAGGATCTGAACACAAACAAGTAAATAGAATCGAAATGACAATTGTAACAAAACTATATTCAGGCAATTATAACTGTAAGTGAAAGAGAGAAGAAACATTTACTATCCATCAAAATCAAATCTCACCTTTTTCCTGAGTTTGTTCTTTATTTATATTCTATTTCTCAACCATCATCTCGAAGTAATAGAAATGAGAATTGAGTTTTGCAATTAACTCAATCCCACTTAAAAACATAAAAATATTTAATGTGATATCCACATAATACGTAATGCACATTAGTCTTTCAACCTTTCATGGGACAAGTACTTTTTTTTATGGACTGGATTCCTTACCATGATCAACATATGTAATAACTGACATATTTCGTATGTTATGCTTGTAGTCCATAATCCTACGAAGCTCGTCTGTTGTGAACTTCACCTGCAAGTATTAGGAATATTTAACAAGCTGATAGTGGTTACTGGCAACAAAAAAGACTACCATTTACAAGGAAAGGAATGAAGACTACTAACCATTTTTTCAGGCTTTCGGAAGCAAAGCTAAAAGAGTTTAAAGGGGAGATATTACTCCAAAAATGCCTACATCCAATACGATGAAAAGTCATAAAAAATCTCAAAGCAAAATATCATAATGTACATTACCAATTAAAGATATATGTATAAAAATTGCATGTAAGACATCAAATAGCTACTGTAACAAGGTAATGAAAATGAATCATACAATACAAAATAAGGTTTTTAAAATGATGTAATGTTATTCCTTCTCATGAAAGACTCGGAGAAGTACAAAGAGACATATAGCTGTCAACAATAGTATTTTATAAGCATGTTGCAATCATTCTTTCATATAGACACCAGAACAAGAACAGGTATACATACAAAGTATTCCTACACTTTTAGTGTACATAACACAATAAAATTGTATCTCCATAAGCTATAATTCAAGACCAAACAAGCACGTTCATAAACCTTCATGTTTCCATGATCGAATCATTACTTGCTTAAACCAACCCATAATTCAACACAGATTCATAAGCTACAAAATTAAACAACGCGATAAAACAAATAAAAATTATATTAACTATTTATTCCCTTTCATGTTAATTAGATCCTCAAATATTCAGAAAAAGATTGAAAACCCATACCAGATCTCGATCCAATCATCCAAACAGATCCAATCCATCAAACCCATAAAAAACATTCTATTTTTTTTTAGGCTTGTCGAAGCAATAAAAAGGATCATATACATACAGAAATCAGTATCTGTGAGTGAAGAATAGAGACATAGGTTTGGTTTTGTTACCGAAAGAGAGACGGCAATCCTGCAGTATAATGTGGAGATTTGCAGTGATGGGCAAATTTTGTCAAGAAATTAGCATTTAAGTTACAAATTGAAAAATCAAATCTAAACTTTATTTAATAAAAAATAATTATTACATAATAATTATATATTAAATATTTTCACCCAATTCAATTACAAACCCTAATTTTATTTATTTCTTCTCACTCTCACTCTCACTCTCCCTCCCCATCTTCTTCTCATGCCTTCCTCTGATGTCACTCGATTCGCCATTGCTCTCCATCGCCGGAGTCAATTTTTATTTCATTCTTCTCACTCTCCCTCCCCCATCTTCTTCATCTCCTTCTCATGTCTTCCTCTCTATCAAGCATCGTCACTACCATCATTGGATCACCCACCGCGGGAACCGCGTCGTCGCCACCACTTAAGCAGCATTGCGCTACTTAATGAAGAGATCGGAGCCTCTGTGCGGGGAAGTGCAGGGGAGGCGATACGAAATCTTCTTCGATTTGTGGCGTTTCTCTGACGATTTTCTGTGGCCCATGGTTTGCATGGTAGCGGCGGTAGTACGGCTTGGAGATGGCGACGCTATGAATGTCGCTACTCGTGACTCTGCTTGATTTTTTTTAATTTCTTGTTTTGATCGTTTGATGGTGTTTTGTGTGAAGGTGGGATGGTGTTTGTGTGGTAGCGAATTTGATGATTTTGTTGGTGGGGTGGTGGCGATGGGGTTGGAGGTGGTGGTGGGTGGTGATTGTGGTGTGGTGATGTCTTTTTTGTTGTTGGCGACGAGAATGGTGGTGGATCTGGTGGTGGCGGCGACGAGGATGGAGGTGGTGGAGGGTTTAGGTTATATGTATATTTTTTTGACATTGTTGTTGACATTTTCTTCAATGTGTCAAAATTTGGTCAATGGTGTGATATGATGTTGTAAAAGTCAATAGCTATGATGGATGTTATGTAAAAGAGTGTCAAACTTAGCTCATGTTTGGTAGAAATTAAAATTCAGATTTTAATTTAAATTAAAACCAACAATTAATTTAAATCACACATTTTATGGGACCCACAAATTTCAAACATACATCTCATCAATATTTATCAAAATCTGCTAAAAATCTGATTTCAATCCCCACCAAACACGGGCTTATTGTAAATGAAAATATACATGTAGCACGATGCAACTATTTTGGTGGGGGATTGAAATCATATTTTTAGTAAATTTTAATAGAAGATGATGAAATATGTAGTTGAAAATTTGTGGATCCTATGAAATGTGCGGTTAAAATTAATTGTTGATTTTGATTTAGCCCCTATTTGATAAACATTCTTAAAAAAAGAATGCATTTTAAATAGTGATGTGATGAAAAATGTGATTAAAAAAGAAAAATTTTGGATTTGCGTGTAATATTATTTTATTAAAGATTGTGGAAAGTTAAAAATGAGTATTGAAAGAATAAATTTTTTTAAAAGTGTAGATCAAACCAGACCTTAAATTAAAAGCTGGATTATAATAATATTATTCAAGTTGTATGCACATTGCAATGAAAACTCTGTACTTGAATTTTTCTAACATATTATTGAATAAAGTATCTTTATTTCAAACTTTTTCCACAGTTACATAGCTCGGCCTTTATTTTAAGGAAAAATTCCACTTGTACATAATTTGCCTTATCTAAGGGTGGTCACCCTCTTACATGAGGTGGATCCCACATGAATAAAATTCTTTTTTAATCATACTAGGTCCACCCCATGTGAGAGGATGGACACTCTTAGGTAAAATAAATTATATACTACTAACATAGCTCTTTAAACCCATTTAACATTTAAACAAGCACAATAAATTAATAACAATTTTTCTGAATTCTTAACTAATCTACCAACGCATGCTTTCAAGCCAAAATACTTTTTTTCCATAAACGTTTTATATATGCAATATAATTAAGCCCCCTGTTTGGGTTCCATTTTTCCAAAAATGCATTTTTTTAAAATCATTTTCAATCACAAATTTTTCTATAAAATAATGTTACACGTAAATTCAAAAAAAAAAATCTTATTTTTTAACCACACATTATCCAAATAATCATTATTCCAAAATATATTTTTTTTTCCAAAATTTCATCTCAATAGAGCCCAAATAGGGCTAACTATTGACTCAACACAAAACATATGTAACATTCGAATTTTTTTTTTTTTAGATTTTAGAAGTATGTAGAAATGTTGAGGATATTTTGAAGTTTTTAAGAACTTTTGTGACTAAAAAGAAAATTTCTATAATTTAGCAAATAAAAGAATATTCATTAACTGAACTATAGCTCGTCGCGAAATCTATAGATAGGAAAGCCTTTTTTTAATACCTAGAAGTTTGAATAAAAGATATAAAGTTAGTGTAAATATCTTCGTACTATAGGAAATGTCCATATTTATGAAAACGAGATAGCAGACGAATCTGTTGAGGGTGTTCAATCCCTAGCCCTGGGGTCAACCCCCTCAGCTCGAGCAGCAACGCAATTCGCATAGAAACTCACATAAATTTTTTATAAAATTTAAAATTGAGATCCGTAAATTGTGTTAAACTCCTAACTCAATAAAATTTTTGTATGGTATATTACATGGTTTGTTAGTGTTGGAAAATAATGATATTGAATGAAAATCTTTATGGAAATTGTTGAATGGAAAAACCAGTTTCACCTCTTCAATTCCGTAACTCCTCATTCAATACATTAAAGAGCTGGCTCCTCCTCTATGTATATGAATAGAAGATCTCTTGGTTGGAAGGAACACAACAAACAGCAAACACAACAAACAGCAAAATAGTTTCCTCCTCATTCATTTCTTTCCAGCAGCCCCCGTTTTGTTTATTTCCATAAAGATTTTTATTCAATAACATTATTTTCCAACAATCCCCCACATGAATGAAAATTTGGAAAATAAAGACTTAAGAGAAATAGAGTAAAACGAATTAATCCTACATATGATAGGTAGCATTTAGGTTTGAACATTCCCTTGTGAAAATCTACCAAGTATTACTAGCAAACCAGTGGATCTGATGCCTTAAACTGTTTCGCCATTTGTGTAAACTAAAATAATAGACCTCACACAAGACCATTTTAGACACAGCGTAGTTCTTAATGTTGTGTTCGTTTTGGCCATGAACACGTCGCCGTTTCTGCAAGTTTTGTTCAAGGATGTAGCCTTCCCTCAGCGTTTCACAACAACGCTTAAGGGTTATTAAAAGCACAGCTTAACCTGCATCTTCTAATCACTGTGAGTACCATAGGAATGAGCAAAAGGAGAACTTTCTCAGTGATTTACACAGATATATATAGTTTAGTTGTCCCTTTGAACCTAGATTCTGGGATCTCCATTCAGCTAGGTTGGATTTTCACCATGATACCTTTCAACGTCATAGGGTGCAAGCACATTTCCCTAGATGTTTTTTCAACTAGCTCTCGAGCCAACCATTTGGTTAGCCGATCGGCAATATTATCTTTTGACTTCACGTAATCCAGAATGATAATACTTTGTGAGAGCAGTTGTCGAATGGTATTATGTCGTCTTGGAATATGTCGAGACTTACCATTATATATATTGCTCCGTGCCCTACCAATTGCTGATTGATTATCACAATAAACACAAATTGCAGGCACAAGCTTTGACCATCTTAAAATATCCTCAACAACCTGGCGAAGCCACTCTGCTTCTTCTGTTGCTTTGTTCAAAACGATGAACTCTGATTCCATTTTAGATCTTGCAATGCAGTTTGTTTTGACGATTTTCAAGAAACGGCTACACCACCAAGAGTGTATCAGAGCTGCCGACGATGAGCATGTCATCGACGTACAGACACAATATAACATATCTATCATTAGTGTCCTTGACATATACACACTTGTCACACTCGTTGATTCTAAAACCACTAGAAAGCACAGCATTATCAAATTTCTCATGCCATTGCTTCGGTGCTTGCTTTAAACTATAAAGTGATTTAACCAGTTTACAGACTTTCCTTTCTTGACATGAAGCCAAAAACTCCTCTGGATGCTTCATGTAGATTTCTTCATTCAAATCTCCATTTAGGAAAGCTGTTTGTACATCCATCTGATATATTTCCAGATTTCGTAAGGCTGCAATAGCAATTATCATCCTGATAGAAGTTATTCTCGACACAGGAGAATAACAATCAAAATAATCTAAACCTTCTTTTTGTTTATAACCTTTGATTATTAGCTGAACTTTATATTTAGAGTTTTTTTGTAACGACTCGACCTCTCACCGGAGCCGTTATCTTTTCCCCATATGTTCTGTGGTAATCCAGAACTAATCAACATAGCATTCATCATTTCTTTTAACGTTCGATTCTTACACTCAGCAATTCCGTTCCGCTGAGGTAAATAAGATGCAGTAGTTTGGTAAATTATTCCATATTTAGCACAAAATTCACCAAATGGTGATTTATATTCACCACCACGATCACTTCGTAGCACCTTTATTTTTTTGCTAAATTGATTTTCAACTTCATTCTTGTAAAGAACAAATTTTTCGATAGCTTCGTCTTTTCTTTTAAACAAGTACACATAACAATATATCGTGCTATCGTCGACAAAAGTAATAAATTACTTATTGCCGCATCTTGTTTTTAAACCACGCAGAGACTTTTTTTTTCTTTTCTCTCTTTCAATCTTGATCGGCTTGAAATCAACCTAATACACTTTATGTAAACAGTAAACAGAACTTAGAAAACATGATGAAAAGGAAAAAAAAATAATACGGGCAGAGAAAAAAATTCAGAAACGGGTTTTTTTTTTCCTTTTTCCAAAAACGATGAACAGAAAGAATTGATCCACCAAAAGAATTCGATTTAAGCTTGTTGGGAAAATATTGGAGAATCAAAGTATATTAATCAAACCGACGGCCCATGTTTACACGGTTTCCTTAAATCGAATTCCCCACCTCACCGGAGTGCAAGAGGTTTGATTAGTGTTCTATTCCAAGGATACAATCGGTTGTTGNATCGGTTGTCGGTTCACGCTGCACTACGTTAACATCCTACGAACTAGCTGTGTTTATCTCTCAAGGTACTTTAGCAAATGAAGGAAAGGAACAAAACCGGAAAGAAGAAATTTGATGCTAGAAGTTTAGAAGAAAAGCTCGTATTTTTTTCTCTTATTGTGTTTTTCTCTATTGAGAGCTCTTATATTTATACAAATAGAAGATAAGCCATCTCTTTAATGGATTGAGAGAGGAGTTACTTGAATGAAGAGTTAAGCATTGAAATATTGAATGAAAATATCGGTTACAAATATCTCTTCAATGCTTAACTTATCTCGTCAATGCTTAACTCGTCATTCAAGTAACTACTCTCTTCAATGCTTAACTTGTAACGCCCCAAAATTTCATA